TTTCCTGCGCTAATAATATTTTTTTTTTTTTTTTTTTTTTAATCGATTGCTTTTTTTTTTTTTTTTTTTTTTTACTCGGCTGCTATTTCCGAGGGGTAAGCAAAAGATATACCCGGCAAATGGCTCCGCCGATACGCCGCACCCCGTTTTACTGGCTGAACTTGCGTGCGAGGACAAACGTGCAGAGGACCAGCATAACCGAAGTCAACACCGACACGCACAACACGTACAAGTAGCTGTCGGCCCCGTGAGGCACTGAGTGCACATAAACCAGGTCGACGTAGTAATCAGCTGCCCCCTCCATGGGAGGCCCATTGAGGGGGGGGGGCCATCTCAACGTCTCTACATCATTTGCCGTGGCCACGTGTTGCCATGGAGGAACCCCCGCGAGCACCTCATCGTAAATGATCCTCTTGTTCATAATTTTTTGAGTGTTTATTGTCCTGGCTAGGGAGTACGTGGCGAGTGTCTCCAGCAGCCCCTCCTCTCTTTTGTCGCCTCCGCCACGCTGCGCATGGTCACGCTGTTGGTAGCCCGCCTGTGTATGATCCCCCCTGAGGGGAGATAACACTTGCACGAAGGACATCTCACTCAGGAACAGAAAAAAGTCCCTCGTGTGCACGCTCAGCATGTCCTCCCCCCCGTTAAAATAAACATGTGTGGCATCTGCGTACAGAGTGGCATTCCACCTATGGGCATGTGTAGAAACAGTCTCCTTCGCATCTCCTTCACAAGTTAGAAATACCTTTGCGTTGGACAATAATACGGCGTGGTAGTCTGTGCAAGTGTTGTCCCCATAGGTGGGGTGAGGACTCTCTTCCCCCGAGAGGCGAGCAACTTCCTCTTTTGCGCGGCTCCTCTTTAACTCTTTTTCTCTTCCACAGGGGGCGACGTACCTGCTGCAAATCTGTACATCGAAGGAGATAGCGGCGCAGGGTTGGTGCGACGACCCCGTCCTTATATCTTCCCCCCCTTCTTGCTCAGGCGCGTTGGCTCGTGCACCTGTCGCGCCAGAGGAGAGTCGCCCCTGTGATAAGCTCATCACTCGATACTTGGTCACAGACGCGGGGGACACACTCTTGTAACCTTCTATATCTGCAAAGGACGCAGTCATGTAGGGGCTCACCAGTCTCTCCTTGTCCATCACAATGCCATTCGGGTGCAGGTCCAGTACGATGGCGCTGCAGTTGCGCAGGGGGGATGCACCACCACAAGCAGCCTCCTCATCACAGACCACCCGCACCGTCGTCCTGCAACTGCGCTTCATACCTTCCCCCTTGAACTGCTTTTCAACGGTGAGGTTAGCAACGGTGCTGTGCCGTACCAACTGGTTAGTGTCCTCCCAGTACATCACATAATCACCAGCCAAGTACAGGTGATCGCGGAAGAGGGCAGGCATGTACACAACCCTATCCTCTACCCCGATGGTGTAACTTCGTCTCACTCTTGTATAAGATATACCGCCACTCAACAACCTATCGACTCTCCCCATCTGGAAAAACAAGTAAGACAATAGAAACACGCCCCTGTTCAGTCCCTCCACGAAAGTAACATTCTCGTAACGAACTTCCTCCTTGAGCTTCCTCGAATAAACATAAATCATATTATTAAAAAAGGAATTTGTAAAAAATGTCCCTTCTGTAACATCCTCACAGTGAAATTTTTTAAGAAGAAATGACAAATGATCGACGCATTTATTATTCCTTGCATGCATTTCGAACGCAACCGTGAATACCTCTTTGGTGACTCCTCTTCCCTTTTTCAAATTATTTTTCTGCATGTCACTCTCCCCCAAATTATGAACAACCCTTTTTTCCTCCATGTGCACTGCGATCATACTGTTAACACGCAAATTGCGCACCACCCCGTGATGAAAGAAGAAGGAAAGTAAAACAGCTAACCGCTTGTCCTTCATCCTAAGCCTTACATGATACAACTCCCTCAAGTGATCCTCAAAGTGGTGTTCCAACAAGTCAACCCTAGAAATCGAAATGAAGCCCCAAATGTCTTTTTCACCCTTGTGTGATGCATCCTCTTCTCTCTCTTCACCGTTGTTCTTCATTTTGTAGTTAACTGATTTTCCTTCGTGAGGAAATCTCCCCTCCAGTAGTCTGCTCTCATCATCCCACTCCAGTAACACGTAATTGTGGGACAGGCAATGCTTCTCCACTTTGAGCAAACCCCCCCCCCTCTTTTCAAATGAGTGACGGGGGGGAAAGTAACATCCGTGGTATATTTTTTCAAGGGCATCGCTACTCACGTAGAGTGGGTTGGCGTTTTTCATTAACTCGGCGATGTGTCTCTTCTCCTTCGTGCCCCCTTCCCTGCGGCGATAACTTCCATGCCGATATACCTTGTGCAGGAAGTCACTCATCACTTTTGCTTTGCGGTCCCCATAATTTTCTCTCCTCCCTTTAATAAGTGCTGTCAGTCCATTGAAGTGCTCACTCGATTCGTACAACCCTCCACTGCTCCTTTTGTAAATGATATAGTAGGGGGGCTGGTCTGTCGCCACATCGTACTCGCTATGCGTGAAGATTCCCTCGCACCGCAGCTTCGTCATCCTCGCGTATTTTTTTTTTTTTTTGTGCACAGCAACAGCGCGACCAAGCTACAATGCAGCAGCGGCGATGACGCAAAGACGCCACAACGAGGACGCGACGGAGTATTCACAGTGATGTGATGTGATGTGCGGACTTGTCCCCGCAGGCACGCCTCGAGATGGGGGGGAGGTCGTGTTGGTCTCCCCCCCTTTTGCACACTGCTCCCACGAAATCATTGACAACCAGCTGCACACATGAAACCTCGAAGCCTCTTCCCCATTTGAAATCGTT